CGTTCCGTTGCTCTGCACGCTGTGATGAAGCTGCTTTAGACTCGCTGTGATTAAAACATTTGGCCGCTGAAAGCCCAGCGCTATCTTGAGCTTCAGGACCAATCAAAGTTCAGCACGACTACAGCCCACCACATAATGTGGCCTGTTTTGTACGACAGCAGCATTCTGGCTATCTGCAAATCAAAGTCACCCAATGCAGCCATCCTCGACTTCTACTCTATCCTCCGTTCCGCACACTCGGCTGTCCCATTGAAAGCTGGGTGGTATGGGAGGAACAAGCATCCATAGGATGCCATTCGTCCGCAAGCATGTCTGGAATTCCTCGCTCACAAAAATTGGACAGTTCTGATAAAACCATGTCAACAGTAACTGTCGCTGAAGGACAGGAATAACTGGAAATACCTGGATCCTCTATGTGGATAATCGTTTTATTGTTAGTCTTGTCTATGGAAATACCCAAGCAGTAAGAAATTGAAGTTTTTGTGGCATGAGCTGTTAGGAACATTTAGCATATCTTGTGAATTTGCGTACACCGTTAAACCGTACTGTATTGATTTTGTCTTGTAACGAAACTGGCTTAATCAGGTTGCCAGACTGATCTTTACAACTGGCTGAAACTGCAAATTAACATCAGATCTGATGTACCTTGCATTCTAATAAACAAACTTGAAACACAGCTTGACTAACGCGCCTGGTTGAATTGTTCATTATAAGTAACCTTCACATTCTTCTTCTTTGGTTTTGATGACACTCTAGTGCTAGGTTGCATAGGCACCGGCGCTGGATGGTGGACCACCTAATATTACACTTTCATGATCATGAGTTTCCTGGTGCTGCACATTGTCCTTGTTGGGCACTTGTGGCTGAACGTTCATGTCGTCCGGGAGATGGTTTCTTCCAATCCTTCCTTGCTTACAAGTAAATGTTGCCTGTTTCGTCGTTACACAGCACCATTCTCAACTTGCACCACATAAAATCTTGGCGCCACTTGCTCTTTGACTTGTGCTTGGACTTTCCCTGTTTTGTCATCTCGCAGACGCACAATCTGTTTAGTGCCGAGTGGCTCCAAATGCCTACCAGCACTGACATTTTGTTTGTGTTTTGCCCCTTTTCGTCCTTGTGCTGCTGAGAAGTCTGGCAATCGAGATCGCAATCGTCGTCCCATGGATAACTCGCAAGGTGACCGTCCATTCACGAGTGGTGTGCACCTGTAGTTTAGCAACCCTAACCAAAAATCTTCTTTGGCATACTGAGTTTTTTTTTTTAGACTCATTTTGATTACTTGGACCCCTTTTTCTGCGAGTCCATTTGCTCTTGTAAACCTTGGGCTTGGGGTGATGTGTTCGAAATGGTAACGTTTTGCAAACGCTGCAAATTTTCTGCTTGCAAGTTCTGTACCATTGACGGCGCAGACATCTTCGGGGATTCCATGCCTGGCGAAAACGCTTGTCATATGGTCTATTACTGCAGGAGCACTAGTCTGTTACCTGCACAATTTTAGAGTAATTGGTGTAGGCGTCGTATATCACGAGGTACGACGATTCTGCATGTTAGCAGAGATCAGCTCCAACCCTCTAACACGCTTCACTAGGGACATCTCTCATGATTAGTGGTTCAGCTGGTTGCTGATATTCAAATGTTCGACAAGCTGCACATTTTGATATGTATGGCTCAATGTCGGCATTCATTCTTGGCCAGAATTCGCTCATGCCTAAGTGTCCTTCGTGCAGTCTTCTCAGTTTGTCTGCACGACAAGCTTTAGGAACAACTACTTTTGAGCTCCTTAACAGGACACCGCTGACCAGAGTCAACTTCGATGCGCACCCCTTGAGGTCTCCCTATTGTTCCTGACCCTAGTAGATGCGTGAGGTAACTTCTTGTAGTTCGTCATCATTTTTCGTGGCCTGTTGCAGTTTCTGAAGTGTCGTTTACCTCAATGTTGTGGACACTATGTTGACAGCGTATACATCAACATGATCCAATTCTACCTCTTTCGTTTTCGCCTCTTTCGCTGGAGCCCGAGGCAATCTGTCGGCTAGCACAAAGTTCTTTTTTCAGGTGGATAGCGCAACTTCATCTGACGAGTACAAAATTGCTGCAGCCAAGGTGGCATGGTTCTAATGCTTTTCTTTGCTATCCAGATCAATGGTCGATGGTGGGTGTCCAGTGCGAATTTGCGACCATAAATAAAGTCATAGAACGTCGCACAGGCAAACTTGATGGAAAACGTCTTTTCTTCAATTTGTACATGTCGCACTTCACAGTCGGTCATCACTCGTGACGCATATGCTACTGTACACCACACTGTATCATTCATCTGTAGGTGCGCCACATTGAGCTGTAGGAGTGCCGCTCCCAATCCAAACTGTGATGCAACACTTGTCACTTTTGTCCTCTTTTCGGGGTCAAGAAATGCTCCACTGGCTTGTTAGTCAGCGTTCTCTTTAGGTTGTCGTATGGTTCCTTGTCGTGCTCTTCCACGGAGCAACCCCAAACGAGTACATCATCAACGCCAGTCTTAGCCCTCCAAGTCCATCAAAAACCTCGGTCCTGATCTGTTGAACTGATACTTCCGATGAAGATGGGATGGCAAATGTTAGTGTACGAAATCGGTAAGGTCGAAATGGCGTACAAAACGTGCACACTGGAGAGGCTTTCTGATATAGCGGTATATGTTGGTACCCACTATTTGCATCCAGCCGTGAGAAGATCTTGATATTTGCCAGTTCTGCTTCAATGTCTTCATGGCGTGGCATTTGGTAGTGGTGCCGTTTGATGGATTCATTCACTTGCCTTGGATGTTACATCTATGCAGATTCTAAGAGAACCTACTTTCTTCGTGACTATCACAATTAGGCTTACCCAATCAGTTGGTACATTGACACGGGCGATGACTCCAGCCTCTTCCATTCTCCTGAGTTCTCTCTTGAGCGGTTCTTTCGGAGTTTGTGGCACTTTTAGTGTCATGAAGTAGACGGGTTTTGTACGCCCAGACATATCTTCCTCGTCATTCGCCTCCCTAGAATGCAGCGATTGCCTTTACCAAGTGCTTGGAGGGAGAGTACACGCATTGAATTTTGTGGAGTGTATTACACGTATAGCGTTAATCGGGCTTGTCTAGAACGCGGGAGGGTGTAGTTTTCTCGCACTACTGCTATACTGGCGGCATTCGCCGTAACTAATATAGTTACGTGGGGCGTCCTGCAAGCGCTATGGGCTACTTTTGAAAGCCGGGAGCTGCTCGCACGCTCTTTTAAAACGCCAAAAATGTATAGCGATTGAAAGTAAGAATAAAATAATCATTACGAAAAGAACAAAAATAAATTACGCCCAAATCGCTTCTGATTTTCGACAACATGATTTCTTGCTCAGGGGTTTTCACTTAGAGAAGGATGGCATTTTCAATCTCGCAACAGTCCGAATACTGCTGTGTTCAGGGAGCCAATCTGTTCTTCCGGGCGTCGGCGGTTTCGGAAGCAGCCACCACACCTTCTGTCGATCGCCGCCAACGGTTCGCATGTTTTCGAAGAGCCAATCTTTCCTCTCGGGAGCAGGCAGTTTAGAGCAAACGGTGTCGTCGCTGCCCCTGGCTTTTATGTTGTCCCGTAGGTAGTGCATACCGAGGAAAGGAAACTATATGACGTCCCGGTGCCATCGTAAGATGAGTGCATGCCAACAGCGGCGCGGAATTGGAAATCTGCGGGACGACTTTTTCCATTGGCGTACCATTTGGGGGGGGGGGGGGGGGTTGCAACGCCTAACCCCAGTTCTCAGAAAAGGGGCGGCAAGGCATGTGTTTTGCCCCCCCCCCCCCCCCCCCTTTCTGAAACAGCAGCCACAGGGCAGGGCAAACACTGGCCGGTGCGCCCAAGGGATACAAAGAGCACCGCCCACCCCCGGCCCTGGGGTGGGGGGGGGGGGGGGGGGGGGATGGTTTGGTTTCAGCCCCACTCAAAACCAAGTTGGTACGCCACTCCCTCTTTCGTTCTCAGGTAAGAGGGAAAGTGGGCGTAACGAGCGAAAAAACGACGGGAGCCGCGCATCGGCCTCAAGAGCCAGTCCAGTCCGGTCCAAACCAGTCCGTCCAAAGAAAAGACGGCCGCATGCATAAGGTCAATATAGGCTGAAGCAATTAAGATAAATTAAGACCTAGGAAAAAGAAAAAGCGAGTGGTTCTTCGTATCGCGGATGTGCGGACCAGAGCAGGCGCGACACGTGCGAGCAGTGCCTTGCGTTCGGCAGACTGTTCCATGTTGCCCCAGTTACAAGATTCTTTGCTGCAAGTGATGCCAGCTTAGCAGTCACCGGAGGAAGCCGCACTCCCCCCGTTTTATGCAAGACCGATAAGCACTTCTTGTACACAGGATCGCCCATATTATTGACACAGACAACCGTAATAGACGCAAAATAAAAGAACAAGAAGTAAAAAAAGCTTCCATTATCGCCCCATCATTTTCTGAACTACCATATTACTTTCTTACCCCAAAAGAAGAAACAAACAACAAAAGTCTAGACTAAGAGTAAGCATAATCAAGGGAGCGCTAGACACTGATTAACTAGTCATTGCCTAGAGACATTGGATGGCCGAATGCAAATTAAATTTTGGGTTATACATTTTAGTACTACGAAAAAATCGTATCTTTGTTGTGAGTCCTGGGGATGTTTAAGATTCGCTGCGTCTGTGCAGAATTTTTTCTTATAGCATATATTTATGTTGATTTGCCACACAAATACGCGCTTGTCATTAATGCAATGACCCGTCCACATTTACGTTGTAATCATGTTGAAACCAATGTAAGAGGTACAGGTGTTCGATTCGCTCCTTACTTCGTGCATGAGCGTTACTTCGCTGTGATATAAAGTGGAGCAATGCCTGATTTCTACTGTCGACGTTATACGAATGCTTAAATCTGAGTGAGTGCCTTTTTTATTTGGCGCTACCATGCGTCTTCTCCTAATAAGGGGAGAAATAATGACATGGTTTGTTTTGTCGTTTGCAGGTCCTGGAAGAAACATCGAAAGATACATACTTCCTGATGTATCGCAGCAGGGATCCCGCTTATAAGAAATGTTTACACGCAAGAGCCAATATCACAGACAAAACGAACAAAACCGCCACTTATAAAATAAGATTGTACATTCCACGGAAAAAAATATAGTAAGTTCTTTACTAATCTTAATAATAATAATAACAATAATATTAATAATAATAATAATATTAATCATCAAGAATCAAGAATAGGCTTTATTTGGTGCCTAGGAAGGAGCTTTCGGTTTTAGTACTAGCACATCCAAACACTTTCTATACCTAATACACATGAAAAAGGTAAATGCGTAACCAAATAAAAAAGTAGGACAAGACATAAACACTTTTATATTGAGGTAAAGTTGCACATTGGCAATACAATCAGTGAAGAGATATCTGCCTAAAAAGACAGTGACCCCTTCATATTTAGCGGAATTAAGGAACAGCATCAACAACAAACTTCCACGAAAGTATTATTTGGAGTCATGCAACGGAATGCGCCGATGTCGTGTTAGCGCTAACAGTGTCGCGATGTGTAATACGGTGTATAGTTGGGCGAGTTTGATGATGGTCATATTGAATGGGTTAAAACAGCGCAAAAAAGACGAAGGACCAGTAAAAGGAAACACACGGACACAGCGCGATCTGTACCTTCGTCTATTGACAGGAATGTATTTGGCACTCGCTCTAGCCTGAAGGAAGTGCTGGGTCAGATGCTGCTCCACATTACCGAGGTGTATTCCAGATGGGATCAAGGCAACGCGAAATAGAGAACAAAGAACGTTTTCGGGTTCGAAAATACTCTATAGACATCCTACCGGCAACACCCAGAGTACGCAAGGCGGATATTTTCATGTGATCCATATGTGCGTCAAAGCGGAGAGAAGAAACAAATATCACAGCAAGGTCTCTGGCTTCGCTAATAGGACTTACAACCTCTTAGTGGATACCGTAGGGAAAACATGTGCTGTGCGTTCTTCTCGTGTAGGACATTACTTTAGTTCTAGCCTTATTTAAGATGAGATTATTAGTCATGCACCAAATATAGAATGAACAGGCATCTTCCTTAAGTATCTTGCAATCACTGGCACTGCGAATTTCACAAAATATCTTATTATAATCTGCATATTGCAAATCTTAGCTATAATCTTAGACACGACAGTGACAAAAATAGAAAAAAAAATAGAGGTTTCGGCAACGACCTCTGAGGGGCCCCGGACGAGACACCATATCTCAAAGAGCATTTGCCGTTTATAATTATAATTATAATTACTATAATTAGTATTATTACAAATATAAAATTAAAATTTTATTATAATTATAAAAAAATGTAATTATAATAATATTAATTGCAAGCGTCGTGCTTAAGGAGCTATGGCGGCTCCGGCAAATCCTATATTGGCTTGTGGGTCCCACCCGGGAAGTCGCCAAAAAAACAAGCCAGCAATAAAACAGTACAAATCAAATACCACACGTTAAATAGCGATCTATAGAAACACTGAGTCTAAGGCTGATTCAAAAACAAATTCAACATCAATAAAAACATTGAATTCAGGGCTGATTCAGAACCGAAATTCAAACGAGGAGAAACACCATGTCTAACATAGAGCACCAGAGCCATTTTTTACTTTTTCCTAGAATCTAAAAGGGAGGCAGACGCTGGGAGCGGATTGAAAATGTCCGCAACATAGTAAGCTCCAGTTCCCATCCCACACCTCGTGAAACAGCGAGGACGCTTAAAACGGGCGGCCTGTTTTAAAGTGCGAGACGGTTCATACGAAACGATAGTTCTGCGTTCAAAAATACTGGAGTACGACTGCTTTCCGGAATAAGGAATAAAAATTTGACATTTCGATATCGCTGAGAATATTCGTGCTGTTAGAGAAAACTGAGTTATATGCCACACTTTTCAAAATACTTCTGAGAATATTGTTCACCTCGGCATGCCGCAGCCCTGCACCGTGAGCAAACACAGCCACCCCGTACCTGAGTGCACTGTATGCCAAGGCATGAACTAGAATTGTTGGGACATCCAAAGGAAACAAAAAAATATAATATTATATAACAGAAAAGATACGCACCGGAAGGCACGACAGTTGTGGGCCATGTGCCCATTCCAGTATATGTGTTCAAACATAAGTCCTGCGTGCATCGTTCTACCAACCCATTGAATACGATCACAAATACCTTCTACACCGAGCAAGAAAAAAAGCGTGTCTATGAAACCGAATTTTAGAGGGTTCCGGAAACGCGTCAACTTAGCTCTCGCCGAGTTCACCTTCAAAAGATTACATGCCTATGCCTATGCTTAACCTCATTGACATTAGTTTCCAAATTATTAAGGGCGATGTCAAAATTAATATGCCAAAAAAAAAAACAGCAAAATGTCGTTAGCGTTTTGATAGCACCCACATCCAGAAATGGCAGAAACAAGATCGTCGATATAAATGTGATACTTCGTTTTACCTTATGTCCATACACAGCCGACGTTACCAGCTGATGGTACCATCCAGACATCGTTAAAGAGATAGCATCAAGATGTTCGTCGTGTTCATGTACGTGTTCTATCATTGCTGAACCAATCATAAACAAAAAAGGCCATGTGACTTGAGCTTTCGACGCGGCTTCTTTTGGTCCCATTAGCGAATAGCGTCGGCTGCGCCCGAACTTAAGCTGAAACGAAGCCTAAATAAAAGGGGCGATGGCGCAGAACACCGTGGAACCCCCGCTCGCAGAAAGCAAAGGTTATTCACTTCCCGACGCACTTGCACACACGGTGACAGTCCAGATAACATATCTGACGATAGTGAATGAAAGGGTCCCCGAAACTCAAACTTATAATTTACGCAGCCGAATCGAGTGATTGACGCTATGACAGGCTTATGACACGACCAAAAACAATAATCTTCGACGTCAACTAAGAGCAGCACCGAACCATTCTCAGGTACAAATCCGTATTGCAATTCGGATATCATGGGGTGGTTGTACAAAAATCTAGTCATCCCTGAAAATAGGTTGCTTTTCTAAAAGGTGCCCCAAAACAGGCGATATTGATATGAGGCGGAAATTCTCCAACAAAGTTAGTTAAAAATATGTCACTTTCAACTCTTTCGTATGCTCACGTGCCCTTATAAAGCCGTTAAGCATAAAAAAATACAAAAACATGGTTTAAAGAAGCAAATTTTCTTTCGAGAATAGTAACGGTACTTCCATCGGCTTCAGGTGATATAGTCCACTTTATACTAAACAGAGCCGACTGGAAACCTTCATCCCGACCCTAAAAATAGCAGAAAGGTAATTTGCACATTTCAAAGTTATTTCCTGAACATCGGCACTGTTATATTTGTCTAACGAGCTAGCAAAATTTAAAAAACAAATAAACGTTAAGCTTTTTCAGTTTTCTTACTATCGTCGGGCAAAATTCTTGTACATGACGTCATGAATTGAGCGCTAGCTGTGGTTGCCTGTGAGACCTTTGGCAAATGATCAAGTTTGTGAAATAACGAAACGACTTTCTGATAACTTTTTTTTTAAATAAAGCCGTTTAGCGAAGCGTATGATGGTATTGGCCTTGTTCCTCGCAGCATAAAACTTGCCGAGCTATGTAAAGTTTTTAGCAACTCGCGTACAACGCACCCAAGACCTTTCTTCATCAACGATGGCAGCTAAAATATCCTCAATTAACGAAACGCAAATAAATCCTCGTTTTCTTATTTTATTTTCATTAAAACGTGGCGCAGTGCTTTTTCGCTCAAAGAGTCGCGGACAGCAACAAGTGTTGAGTAAACATGAGAGTGGGATACTCCTTTGAGAGCGCACCTGACGGCAGTTCGAAAGTTGCTCGCAAGCAGTGTTGGCGGTAACTCGTTATTTGTAACGGTGTTTCCGGTAATGCGTTACTTTTATCGGTAACGTCGTATCATACTCGTTACTTATTCAAAACGGTTACGCGTAACGTACTTACGTTACTTATTCCGACTAATGGGTAACAGTTACCTTACTCGTTGGATATCTTCCCAAAACTTAAGCACAATTGTACACTACTATTTTCGTGTTTCTAAGCGCCAAAGCGTCTAAGTTATTTTGGTTGCTCTTTTGCGTTTTTCTTTTTTTTTGCATTTCTTTTTGTGAGTATTTAGGTGCAACCGTAAAAAGATATGGTCATTATATTGAATTTCGGGATTGACCTAATTTTTCTTGCATATGCATATTTATGCTTGTAACGTGAAAAGAGTAATACGCGTTAATTCATAATTTAAAAAAAAAGGTTACGTTAAACTAACGTGGGTTACTTCTAATAAATAGGAAGTTTTCGTTGACCGTTTTCTCACCTCCGCTCCGCTCTCCGCAACGAAGACGCCACTACTGCGCATGCGCGGCGCTAGCCTGGCCTGCAGAATCCCAGATCTCGTATCGGCTTGCGGAGAACATTGCGGTACAGCGGAAACCATCTACGAAAGCTCCCTAGTAACGGTAAAGTTTACGCGTTATTTTTATTTTGACGTAACGTAGGTCGGCAACGCGTTCCTTTCATTACAAGTAACCTATTTGTTGCTTCTTTTATTGGTACCGCCTACACTGCTCATTAGCCTGGTCTGCGGCCGCGGTGACTGCATCTGGAGGGCGTCCGCATTGTGGTGCCCAGCGTTCCCGCGCTATAGCTTGAGCTTTCGGACGCCGCAGTGCGGTGAAGGCAGGCCGACGACTGATAGAGGGACGGCGTGGAGCGCACTGTGAAGCTGTTCAATCGGGTTTCACACGGCTGCCGATGACTGCCGATGCGACCCTTTCGAAAGCCCGCCTGCGCGATCATAGGCGACGACCGTCACCGCATTTGGCTCGCCCATCGGTGGCTGGTCCGTCGTCCCGCAATGTCCGCAAAAAGAGCCTCGCTGAAAGCGCGAACAAACGGTGGCATCCTCATAGAGTATAGTTGGGGAGGCGGTGTGCGCCGACAGGCGACAAATCTTATTTGAAATAACAAGAACTTTAGAAATTTTTAAGTTTTTTTTTTTTTTTTTTTAATGATCGCTAAAGCGTATGGGCTTGCGGGCAAATTGCTTTACCAGACACAAAAATTGTTTGGTGCAAGGTGTCGGCGTCAGAGCGTTCGACAGAGTCACAATTAGTAAGGTACAGAAAGCACAAAAGAGAAAACATTACGAATCAATTAAAACATGATATTTCTGTCAGGCAGTCAGAAATAATTCATTCGGCCGAACAAGTAGCACGTGATATAGACGTTTGCAACCGGCCATGCTTCGAAAGCTAGTCTGGCCACGGTGGATAAAAAACGCCTTGTTGATATGCCACATCGTCTGGTGAGAGTTACGAAATTGCAGAAACAATGCAAATTGGCGAAGGGAAGAAATGATGCTTTTGGGTCTTAACTTCTCGGCTAAGTGGCGCATGGCGCAAGGTACCGCCCAAAATGAAGGGAACAGCCGTTAGCATTCATCCATGCATCTTGTTGGGCAACCAGTCTGGAAACCGTGGAAACGCCTCAGCAGTGCTTGAAATTCAGTCGATCTGCCCACACCAGCAGCAAGATGGCGGCGCCCAGGAGACGAAGACAAGAGGTGTACCTCGCTCTCCTGCTCATGTTCACGTCCTTCCATTTATTCGCCGCGGTTTAGTGATGGGTGAATGAGAAAAATTAAAGCCGTTTACAGCTCCCTGTAACGCCGGCAGCACTTGAGGAGGAGGATGGAAGAGTACTGGGGGGAGGGTATACTTCTCCTCCCTACTGCTCTCCCCGTCATCCTGCCTGCTACTTCGCCACGTCGCCCCCCTGAGGTTACGCGGCCCCCGCGAGGTTACGTGACCTCAGGGCGGTCACGTGATCTCAGGGGGGGGGGGGGGGGCGGTCACGTGACCTGACGGTTTCGCCGACGCCGCTCAAGCCAGAAACGGGCGCCTAAGAGCTGCGCTCTAAAATACCTCATCCGCGGGTTGCGCTAGGAGGCGCCCACACAGTGCGCCGTAGTCTTCACAACGCCTCTCAAGAGGAAGGCGCAGGCTGCACGAGGAGGTGATAGCCTAAGAGAAGCGGCGATGCACTGAGTATATGTATGCGCTTGCTCGACGTGCCAAAAGAGCAATACCACGTAGAACAAGAAGACAACGGTGGCGCACTGCGTCACTGTGGATCCCCGAGCCGCCCTAGGCGACAAATACGCTGAATGTTTTGCGCAAAAGTATGAATCCAAATACGCTGACGCTCGACACGAGTCGCCGCAGGGCGCCAGAGGAATCCATCTTAGGCCGTCGCCGCGTGCTAGGGTCGCGCTGGTTGTGAGATGCTGCGAGAGGCGCTGGCGGTAATGCTGACTCGAGGCAAGCGGCAGTGCGAGAGCAATTAGTGATCACGTAGGTGAGGAAAGATACAGGCCTAGTCATCTGGCTCGTATTGGAAAGATACACAGGTTGAGAAAGAGAGAGGGACGTTAGAACAGGGAGAGGACCGAGGTGGTCCTCGTCCTGCTGCGACCGAAATTCGTGCGTTAAAACGAGGCGCTGACACTACATACATTTTGAAATTTAATTTTCTCGTAATTATTTTTTCTTTACATTTCAGCGAGAATACCACACTACAAGTGAGAGCTCTAAGTCAAACTGACTACCCGCTTGAAAACGTTATACGGGCAAACTTGAAAGGTACGTAATACTCGGAGGGGGAGGGGGGATACGGCTTGGAAGGGTAAACTTTTTAACCCTCCGTCCAAGGTGATTCCAATTTCTAGGGCGATCTAAGCCTCCCATTAGAAATGAATAAATTCAAAGCCTCAGCCTTATAGACCAAATCTATAGTATTCTGCGTTTCCTAAGTTTCTAGAAAAAAGGTACTTCATTAAAAAATGTTTTAAAGAAAAATTATAATTGCATTCCACGAATGTTGTATATTGAAGTCGAGTGCCCATAGGGCAAGTTAAGCTAGATATCGAGAAAAGGCAATTCTATAGACAATACAATTACACATCAGAATAACAAAAACATTTCAACGTTAAAAAATACATTTTCTCGTACAAAATTTTCTGCCAAAAAGGAAATTAGCGAAGAAATGCATATGATGTTTCAACCTTACGTTTTTCTATTTTCTATAAATGCCAAGCCTGCGAAATTCACCTGGAGCATAGGTAACACCTCCCTCTTTGAGAATTCGTTATCTCTTTGGCAATAAATACCAGATTTCGTTTTCTGTGAGCACACTATTTCTGCTACCACGCAAGCCACGACAGATAAACTGCCGAGAACAAAAAGGCAAACGACGCCGAAGGAGGGCAGCAGAGTAGCAGCCTGATTTGAAGTGTAAGATTCTGTCAAAAGGGCACTGCTGAAAATAACACAATACCACGTCACTGGGCAGGACCAATCGAAAGCCCTGTTTTGGGTCCCAACCAGTAACATTGCCCTGTGCGACTGAAGCAGTTTATAAAATCCATTTCAGGTGTGGTAGGGTGTATATAGCTCAAATCGAATGCTTTCTTAATGACAGATTGCGAGAACACGCGGCCTCACTTACCAATGGTTTTGGTTCAGAGCTGCAAATTCATGGCAAAGTTTGTGGATGTTGACCTCTTTTCAACGACGTGTATGCGACCGGGTGTAGAAAAGGAGATGCTTGAAGCGGCTCTGATACACCATTGTGAACAAGGCTCGTGTATTAAATAGCATCTTTTCATTTGATAAAAAAAATACGATTTTATCGGTCGGGTTTAGCCCTTTGTGTATTTTGGTTGCGTAGGGTAACCAAAAATGTTTCTATATAGCGGTTTCTTTTTCATGAACTTTATGCGCCTTTCCCGTTACGTCATGATGCTGTTAAATCTGCAGTGGACGTGCTTGAATCATGACACTATTTCTATTTCCGCCTTTAATTACGAAAGTATGTCGGTTTTTGCATGGACGCTGGGTATTTTTTACTCTTCAAGCTAGCTGTGACATCCGTGCCATACGTTTGCACGGGGCAATTTTTCAGTGAGCCTTTTAGTTGCAAGTTAGCGCTCGTTGTTGCGACTACCTTCCTGGCTCCGTCCTGGAGTTGGCCTTCACTTGTCGTCAACGGCAGCAAAGCTCCTTACCGCGTTCGGCTTGGCGTGGGCCAACGACGCTAGGCAAAATCACGCTCAGATCCCCGAAACCAGCCCTTGAGACACCGGGCCGGTGGTGGCCCTCTCTGAGGGCTTTAAACACAAAAAGAAAGTCTTCCGGAAGCCACGAGAGGATCGTGAACGCCAGCCCTTGCAAGGAGAACCGCCGGTGTGCGTGTGTTTGTCTGTATGTGTATGTGTGGGTCTGTCGGTGTTGTGTTTTAGTTCGAACGGCAAAAGCGTCGACACCTTGGATCAGACACCGCAGCATGGCAAGAGCGGCTACGGCATGCTTCATCTGTACCTCGTTGAAAGAACACAGGGCAATTGCATCAGCCACCCCCGCAAATCGAACACAACGTGAACACTTAAACTCTGGGGAAGGCTCCTCTCGCTCAGCGTGCCTTCCCGCCCTCGGAGGACTATATCACATGGCCTCAGGAAGCCCGAAGACGCCGATTAACCAGTCGACCATGCCATCTGTTTATTTAGTCTGTACATAAAAGTTATAATTCAGAAATCCCACTCCAGGTCTGTTACTTCGGGGCTATGCGTTCAGTGAGCCACATCCCCGAATCCTGTTTTCGCACCTGAGATCGTCACCTCGAAAACGCCATATCGTCTTGTGCTTTGCTTCTTCTGTGTCTCGCCTTTTTTCTGCTACTCTTTTATCATGTCGGTCAACAACCAACTACCCGTAAATTCACTCTTGTTAACCAAATTACATCGCCGTTACTTACACCCGAAGCGCACTTTTGTCCGAAGCTAGCACAAAATTTAAATGGAGCTCCCGGTAAGCCTAAGTAGAGCGGCAGTCACCGTTTCACTTGGAGATCCAGTGGAACAACGGTGTCTGGAACCCGTCTCAGAATGGTGTGTTTACCACGTCTAAAAAAGTGGTCCCTCGATTTCCGCCTGATAACCTCACACAAGTGTCGTGCTTTCGCCGACCGCGATCCTGGAAATGTCCCAGCAGCGGTGGCGGATGGGACAGTCGCCTGTTCTACTGGAGACCGCCCTCCAGTGTGGAAGCCAATGGAAGCTTCGGTAGCCAGAAGTTGGGACGCTGCGACGACAGCGGCGCTCGCGTTCGCTCGTGCTTTTTGCCAGCTTTTCTACGGTCAACCGCCAGGATCGCGACATCTGACAGCAAGACACTCCGGCTTCTGTGACGTTATTTGTGTCCACTTCGGCACCACTTCGTATGTACGGGCTAGAATGGACGATAGAGAGACCAGTCGGAGACTCGTTCCAGGTACCATATGTGAAACCAAAAGACCCTGAACGATCTAGGCCCCTAATAAAACGTCGGTTGCCGCTCTGCTTAGGACTACCGGATGCTCCTTTTTACATTGCGGTTTCTTGTAAGCAATCCCATGACGTACGGCCAAAAGTGCTTTGATGGCCGACGTGCCGTTTAGTACTCAAAAACGTGTCTACTCAGAGGTGACCATAACCCTGGAGAGTGGGGAAACGGAGGGGGAGCCATTACACTTTAGATTAAGTTGTCATTCAGTAAGGCGGGGAGTTGTCAGGTCTGTGCTAACAAACTCACTCAGGTTTCCTTGTTCTCACCGTTTGGGCGCCGGTTTGAAAAAGTAGCTTCGTACATTGCCGCGCGAGTAGCTGACCAAGTAGGCAGCGCGCTCGTGGCCTAGGATGCCCGACCCATACGTATGCATTTCATTGAATATATCTGCACACTATAGTCTGTATACGCCACTTTGGTTTGTGCGCCTGATTGGGTGTCAATTTCGACATGCTTAAGACCTTGAAAGAATCTTATATTTCACGATTGCGTATAAGTGATATTCATAAAGTGAATTTATCAGTGTAATCCTTTTGTAATTTACCATATCCAGACCGGCCATAAAAAAAAGTCACTCGTGGCCTAGCGGTTATCGGGCTTGCCTTCCTCGCAAAAAGCCATGTTTCGATGCCTGGCCGCGGGTACACATGTGTGTTGACACTGTAATGCGGTGTTCTGGTAAATTTGGAAGCCATGTTGATGATTCGAGGTTAGAATTTTCTACGCGCCGAACCTTCTACGGCGATTGTTCCCGAAGCCCACGCGCTTACAAAAGGGACTCCGCGTGGCAAGCCGCGGTCAGTCTCGCCACATGCGTTCGATCCTGCTGTACTGTTACGCCGACTTCGACGCCCGCGACGCTCTGTTGTTAAGTTGTGTTTCCTTTTTGTTTTGGGCACAAATTCGCCCCATAAAACATTTAAGTTTCCTCAGTTATCCTTTGTTTCGTCACCTCGTCATTCGCGACGATATTGTTCTTCGCTGACTACAGCAGGGAGTTCCTGTCTTCGGTCATCCATCATTTGCTGACAAATTCTAACTTGCCGATATACGTCCTAGCAGAGAAAAGTAGGGTTGCTTGCCTTATTTGCGTGTCTCCCATAACCTAAAACACCAGCGCGGACGTTTTGTGCCACAGCTGTTTTTTAACCAGATTTTCGGCTCGACCGGCTTGCACTTTTTTCGTCACAGAAGGCAGGTTGTGAAAAAAATCAGGGACCCTACGGTGGATTGCGATCTGGGTGTAATGTAAAATATTCCCGTGAAGTGTGGTTCTTGCTATGTGGGTCAGAAGGCTAAGTGTTTTATTCACAACTTAATTTAACAGAAAGGAACGGTGAAAAACAAAACCGAAGATTCAGAATTAGCGAATCATCTTTCTTCCGAAGCAATTGTGTCGTTGTTTGGAAAATTACTGAAGTGCTCCACAGGGAAAGGGATTGTTACAAACGTTCAGTGAAATAGTCGTTGATGATTCATGGGCACGCTTGTTGTTTTAGCGACATGTTCGTTTCTCTAGACAACTACATGAAAGCGTCTCTTAATTACAGCCGTTTCATTATGGTTCTAATGGTAGTTGGCTGTCCTCGTTCCTTCTCTTGCTTCGTGATCATTGGGCTATTCACTTTGACTATGTCCTCAGTAACAGTCCGTCGCACGGTGCAATCTATCGTCTCTTTGTTGCGGAATCTGGTTTAGAGGCTGATGTGTGCCCTCTTTGGATACGTGTATTCCGGTTAGTTACGCGTGACTTCATCGCTATCCTCCATGTCTTCCTTTGGTCTCCTTGGTTTCCTTTCTCTTGGTTGTGAATTTAAGGTTGTGTTTTGTAAAATAAACTTCAGCTGCGTTTGGAGATTCGTGTTGTCCTGTTTTTCTGTTTCCCAACTCTCTAGGGTTCAACATGGCAGCTCTTAAGCAGCTCGCTGGTACCCTTGAATTAAAACTTGTTCCGATTCGCTCTATTTGAATTTAAATATGTTCTGCCATTTTGTTCTGCACTGGAGAACAGCTGCAGCGAAGAAGCTTTTGCGGGTCTCGTTCAACATCTTCGTACTTACTGTACTTACTGCACTGTGGTTATATCTTAGCCTGTTTCAGACAATCGTCGCATGAGTCAAATTTCTGAAAGTGGCAACCGTTTGCTTCAATTTTAAAAGTAATGACCAGGAGGCTCCGCAATAATATTGTATTGTCATTTTCAGTCAAGTCAGGCTTTATATTTATCACTAAATATTAACAAAATTCGAGGGTCAAATAAAATGAATCTAGTAATAAGTCAAGCATTCTCACCAACATGTGCTTCTCCAGATTTAAAGTTTTCGGCAATGTTGCTCAAAAGTGGAAATTCGGAAATTAAATGTAACAATGCCAAGTTACAAGTTATAACGAAGTTATCGTTGTTATATTTGTTGCTATATCGTTGTTATACTGATATTAATAACGAAGTTATTAATATCAGTATTAGTGTGCAGTCTTGAAGATTTTAGCTGCGTAATCGTCTAAACTATTTTGAAAGTGCGATACAATGTTTTTGTACCCGAAAACCAGGAACACTCCCAAGTGCTACTCCAGATCCCCCAGGAAGCTACACGTACGTGCAGTATGATAACGCCTTCTACCATTCCAGCGGTAATCCCTTTCCTGATACGGGTAAGTTAAGGTTTCATGCTCGACAAACGTGGAGCATTCTTGTTTTTGAGGTATTTACCAGTTTCATTGCAAAAATGACGTTCCCACGCAGGTGTTGGTGCGGAGCCTCAGTTTTGTACATCAAAATCTGCTTCAACCAAATTTATCCTAGACAACCACTACTGTACTCCGGAAACTCTTCAGTATATGGACTTCTATGTGGTATACAACGAGCCGCAATGTTACATTCTCAGGAGTCCCGCAGACCGGGGAGGTAAGGACATTAAAACTTCAGCAAGGTTAATGTGAAACTGTATTGTTTTCCGCTACTTTAAGTGGTAAGAAAAGCAGTACAGTTTGCTTTATAGCGGAAGAAGAAACAGATCAATCAAAGTTGCCTAACACAGGAATCTAGAATAAAACAAGCTGCATAAGAAGCGTATTTCGACAGATTTATTTTGCGTTGCTTTTATTTATATTGGAATGTAGACACGTACTATATGTGTAAGATGAACGAAAAGTTATGTAGCATGTTCAGTTTACTGAGGTCGTGCTCTAAATTCGCTGCTAATCGTCGGTGCCTCAAAGGCTTATATTCATTGGTACGTCCACGAAAACAGGGGCACTCTTGGCACCAAAGTTTTGTTCCAACAAAAAAGGAGTGTTCCAAACAGTGCCCAGTGTCGTGCACAATCAACATTTGTTTAATCTGGACAAAAAAGGTAAATTCACAGGACTGGAATGAAATGTCTTACCCTGCTAGTATCGTGTGTGATTTTTATTACAATAAGAATTTCAGTGCTACGTAATTTGAACGTAATTTGATGCTCAGTTGGAGACTCGCAAGTAAAAAAGGCCTATCCGAATGATTTACATTTGATTGATAATGACAGGTAGGCAGTAGTGCAGAAAAATTTAATAGATGTTTTATGCATCGCCTCTGCCAATAAACACCTAAAACTGAAAATCCCGTGTAGGCGATAACATGGAGATTTATTCTATGAAGAAACACCTTCCGCTATCGTAGCGTCCCTCCGATCGAAAAATCTGCAACTATACACCGTCTCACCATACGTTGACAAACGGTGTAGGCTACGATCCGAGTGAACCAGTCAGCGTGTCCAAGTGACTTTACTATATAGTAGTTACTAGTTACTACAAATGACTTTACTAGTACTTGACACGTGACTTTACTAGTTCTTAGTCTTTAGTTGCGCGCAGTGTTGTCAAGGCCATGAGCAGGAAAGAGAAAAAAGCCGCTTCTGAACACATTTTGAGTGACGGGCTAACCTCCCAGGGCGACCACAGTGACGTCTGGGACACTCAAGAGGGTTCGGCTTAAGAAGGCAGTTCCTCCTTCCCCTCTTCTTCATCTGCTTGGGTTACGCTCTCGCCTCCATATTTTTGTTAAAGGCCGACGTGCACTTCGCGCTTTCTACTTGTTATCGCTACCTCCTTTCCCGTATCCAGTCTACCTTATGCAACATGCCCCAACATGGCACCCCTCGCAGTTTTCAAGAGTATGACGCTGAGAGGATCAATTTCCCTGCAGAAAACTAAGGCGGTACGTCGGCCTTTAAGGGCTGTCAATCTTCACAACCATCACTCTGATTGGTTCGAAGGTGCCGTAGTTTTCGCTCTGCGACAAGCCAAGGTGAAACAATGTGTAATACAGTTTGTTGCTGGGCTTCGCGGATGATAATCACCCACGCTTCGCACCGCCAGCCTTACACCTGTTGCACAGGTGGTGACTTTAGCGAACCCCCGCACTTTAATTATGCACTATGTCCATCTAAATTTTCATAATTCAGTAGTTTTCGATGACGCTCTGCAGGTTTCTAATTTGAAACATACTTTCATAATCACTTACTAAGAAGCTACCTAGCAAGTATTAGTTGATTATCTGACTTGTGACGTTTAGCCCACTATAATATGAGCCCTATAGTTTTAGAACTCATCCCCACAGGCAGCATTAGTGCACCTTTCACTTTTTTTTGTTTTTTTTGGTTTACATAAGTCTGTTCGAATTAAAATCAAAATATCACGCATACTGACCGCATTCTCAAAACGGACTGAGAGCGTTGTAGAAGTGTACCTTTCTAGTTATTTCATATAAATATTAAATGAATCACAACACGGTTTTCTTGAGCGCAAAACTGTTGAAACGAAAAGCATTTTGGCCCCATTGTGGCCTATCGTGGCCTGGTCGACGCCATTTATTTTGACTTGAGTAATGAATTTGACCTGGTGCCCCATGACTTTTTAGTGCACAAGCTATCGGAAGGTCGCGTTTCCCGGTAGGTATGTGGTTTCAGTCATATATTTAAGGGTTATCGAGATCATATATACATCATCTGGCGCTCCTCGGGGTTCTATTCTCGGACCTTTACTTGTTAGCATTTTTACCATTAATCACTCTCTTTGTGTAAAACATTGAAAGTTGCTTCAGTTCCCTGATGATATTAAGATATTCAAACGGATACAATCACATGTTGATTGCCAGCTGCTGCAGGAGGAAATATCTTCTATCTTATTATGCTGGGTTCTACAAAAATTACATCTAAACAATAAAAAAACACTTTTTATCCCTTCATAACAAAATAATCGTGCGCCTTTTTATTTATTTGTTTTTTATAAGCTAGACAATGAACCACTGCGAGGGGAATATTTACCTGACTTACGGGTTTATATTGATTAATCTCTTAGTTTTATTAATCATGCGTTAAATTTAGTTAGTTCTCGCTTGCAACTTTTGGGTTTGTTTTCGCGTGTAAAATTCTGCCCAGACAGGACACTCCCAGGACGCGCGAAACGACACTTCTCCGCCATCCGTCTGTTTGCTTGTTTTTTTTTGCTTTTTCGCCGAGATTAAAATTCGTTTTTCGCTACTCTCCGCGTGTCTCTTTGACGGAGGCATAGTGCATGCTCATCATGTGGGTTCGGACAGTCACGGGAAGGCTCTGCTGACAGTCGGTCAATCGCTCAAGGCCTCCGCTGCTGTTAAGTCTTATCCCAAAAGCAGGAAAGGGAAGGTTACGAGGGCGCAGCAGAAACAGATGGACCGGCGCCGACGTCACACGAAAGCGGATGAGGCGAGGAGGAAAGCCGTGATGTTTGCCTAGTTTATGTACTCACCAACTCATGTCTACAAACAAACCGGAGCGCCCTTAGCGGACACCAACGACGCCGCGCATGCGCGATGGGGGTGTGGGCAGGAAGCTCGCCGCCACCCAGAAACAAACCATTGTAATGGGATGTTGTCGGCGTCGGTGTGAGTCCCCGTGCTCTTTCTCGCGTTGAAATTGTTGATTAGACGTCTTCCTGGCAATGTCTGACTACTTAAGCAGCCTCAGCGAAATTAAGCAGGCTCGTTACACCGCAAAGCTTGGCGTAACATGCGACGATTCACTCCGCGCGGACGCCGCAGAATGGACGCTAAAATCTGATTTACATGGTGAAGTTCTGCTCGCTATTTGCAGCCGTGGCGTCGCTTAGGCTGCAAAAGCCTGAACCGTAGCTCAGATGTCGACGTCGATGCTGAAAATCGCAAGCAGATTCGGACCGAGTGGATCAGGCATAGCAAATCGGTGATGGCCACTGGTAACAATTGTCAACATCTCCTTAAATCTACTGTTTACACCGAGCCTACTTACTCGAAACACCCCTCAAACTTAAAGTCTTTTAAGGTCTGCACTTCTAATCGCAATTACCGAGTCAATGTTTGGTCTACGGGCCACTGTCGTTTGAACGAGCAGCCGACAGGCAGAAACGTTTGAGGAAGTAGGCGACAACTCGAAAGATGAGGGGGCCGTGGGAACTCGATGACGCACTGAACGTAGTCCGCATGTGGTCCGTGCAACAAGGCGGTTTTCCCGCGTTCATGTTGGAACAAAACAAATAAATCTGACGACCACAAGTATCCTTCAATTCAATCCAAAGTGCTTCCCGCGCAAGCAATCGTGGTCCGACGGCGTCTGTGTTTCCTTTTTCACGACCCCATTCACGTTCTGGGACGAACCGAGCAGGCAGAAAACGGATGAAAACTGACCTTCAAACATTTCCCGGCTCTTTTGGTACAGCCCCAGAGTTAAAGTTGTTCCTCCCGGTGGTGTGGGAGGCAGGTTCCGCTTCGATGGTCTGGAGCGTGGTGGCACGAACGTCGCTAAGTGACGGGTCGACTCACTGCTTGTAGAGGACTAAGTGCATTTATTTACACTCTAGTTACAAGTCCCAACTTGGGAAACCATCCTGCCTCGTCTAAAGTCTCGACCCCCGTCCCCAATTTCTCTCCATCAAATCCAAAGTCCGAATCCCTCAAAATCCTCTCCGCGCTCTTTTTGTAGGTCCGTAGGGGCCTCCTTTCCCCTCAGGAACCGACCAATCTCTTCAAATTCCGCCACTCACACGTGGTACACTGTTCTCCAATGGTCGGCGAGCTGTCATCCTGGCGCCCTAACGGTCAAACCTAAATTCCTCGTAGAGTTGTTCTCTGCAATTTTCCCAGCCTGACTGGCGCCAACCGCTAAGTTATTGCATCGGGCAAAAAGCGACAATTTTATACAAAGCGACAAAACCCTCTGCATACACGAACATTCGGCTATAAGCCACAAGCATCTTCCAGCGCGGGCTCTTTCGGTCCCGGTCCGAGCAGACCCCCGAAACCCGAGACGCTTCTTAACGACCGGCGGGGGGACCGCTCCCGCGTCGCGGCCGCTCTGGCCCCGCCGACCCAACGTAGAAAGCTAAAAAAACACAATGCCGACGCAACTCTGGAAAGATAAACTTTCCTAACCAAAAGAAAACACCTTAATTAATAAGCATGACTCCTAAATACTTAACTCCTCCCCACCAAGACTGTTGCGTTGACACTTGATGTAAGCGCAACATAAATTCCTTCCCCGAATATCGCACTGGCAAATATTCGAACCAACTACTTGGCCCACAGTTAACCAAAAGCAACAACGTCAACATCACGCTCTAAAAGTTCACCAACTGATCATCCGTAAATGTGAACACAATCAAACGGCACCGATAAAAATAAGAAAATGGTTACAATTCCAAAACCAGAAACACTAAAACGGCTGCCGCAGGCAAGACGTCCAACACACACCAGAATGGGCACACAAAAGAAAAATTGCCGTGATAGCTGTAATGTTCAAAGTCAAACTGCCACCCACGATCACACACAAGTTGGACCCACTCCTGTACATTCCAGGGTCCCGCAAAATCAGTGGTGAGAGCTCTCAAAACTGTGGCATAATGATCACGCCCTAACCATGCCTGTCTGGCCGCGACATGCTTACCAACGC